AGCTTCACCCCCTGGATTCTCAGGACCACTTTGCATCTCCAACATTCAACCTTCTCCCACCCACCCTGCACCCATGACACTGCATCTATGGCACTCCTGTGCCACCTTAGGAGTGTAAAGGACCCTGCAGAAGAAGGACATGCTAATCATTCCCCAATCCGAATCTGCACTCGTGGCCTTGCCTCTGGCATGTTGCCAGTGTGCTGGAAATGCTTGTAGCATTGAGTTTGCAGTTGAAATTGTGCTAACATCCAGATGCAATGAAATGCAATGTCTCCTTAAAGGAAAGGAAGCATAGGAAGACAGCAGAACCCAGAGGCTGTGTGCTGGTTGGGGAACCCTTTAGAAGCAAATCCAGAGACAAGTATTCAAGTACATGCAGTTCATTTGAGAGGGGCTTGGAAAGTGCAAGGAGAAAGGGAAGAAGTCAGTAAAGGGCATCTTGCCAAGCGGATGAGGGAGCCAGGACATCTGTGTACCAACTCTCAGAACTTTTGGCTGAGGGCCGCTAAGGCAGCCCCACTGGAAGAGAAAGCCCTGTGGCAAAATGCAGGAGCCTGCAGTCTGAAGTCAGACAGATGGGCTGAGTACAGGGACAGTGGTTCCCAAGCTTTATAATGCATCAGAATTACCAGGAGAGCTGAGCCCCACACCAACAGCTTAAAGGGGGGGCGAGTAGGTGTTGATAAGGATCTGCACCTCAACAAGTTCCCAGGGGCTGCTGTGGCTGGCCTGGAGCCAACCCTTAGGAATCATCTGGCTCAGCTCTGGATGCAGGCAGGGCACTGACTGGTGGGTACAGACTGCAAGCCTGGGGAAAATTCAAGCCTAAGACTGGCAGAGCTTAGAGACAAAGACAAAAAGGTAAGCTATACTTCTGTTTTGCCCTTTGCAAGAGAACTCCTCCCACTTGACTCAAAACTGATGTGTGGGAGTCGCTTGCCTGTGGAGCTGAGAACACAGCCCACTTCTCTGCACCCGCTGTGGCAAGGCTAAGGCTACTCCCTCACAGCCATCCCAGGACACTTCCTCCCGCTAAGTTTCATCCTGGTACTTTTCTCTAGATGTGGCCTGATAAGCTTAGATTCCAAGGGCAAAGACCACAGACAAGCATTTCAGGATTCCGTCTTTGGACTACATAACTGAACTCATCTGGGGATGGAAGCGGCTTCTCCTGATCTGAACCAGAGCTGGCCAAGGTGGCCAAAGGCAACACTCAGTTCCTCTCTGTCTGGCCTCAGAGTCATTACACTGTGACCTTGAAAGCCTCTTCTCCTTTCTGAAAATGGTGACTCCTCCAGGACCCCCCCCACATCATGCACTTTTATTCATTCAATGACTATGATAACCAGAAAAAGAACAGGCCTCCCATCCTTCGCTGTTTCTTCCTATAAGATCACATGCTTGCAGGGGACACAGAAACCTAAACAAAAATCAGTAGTTATTTCATAATACTAAACTTTCACTCACAACCTATACTACAGGTTTCACAACACAAAAGCACTTGTGACCACTTAAGAGAGGAGCAGGAAAAGGCAAGGAGACAGAGATAACAGATTTACCCTTTGCGGAAGCAGAGACATCCTCATTTATCTTTTACAGTGATCACCCCTAGCAAAGAGCACGACGAAGCCACCTCCACACACTTCCATTTGGAGATAGGGTCACTGCCATGGAAGCCAAGGGTTAGGCCTCAGACCACTGCCAGTGAGTAGCTGGACCACTAGGTTCAGGAGGGCAGATACTGCAGAAAACTGAGGTCGACACCTTTCATTTAGGAAGCGCTTTAATTAGCCACCATCCTGGGCTTCATGGTGAGGGAAAGAAAAGCGTCAGCCCCTTGCAAATCAGAACATTTTTTCAGCTTTCCCAATGGGTTGCCAAGTGACTCAGCATTGGCCCAGTGTGGGCACTATTATTGATGAGAAATCTTCTGCCTGGGTGATATACTGCATACAACACATGCCCAAAGAACAGTGCCAAGTCATACCAGGAAGAGAAGGCAAATTATTCACCTCCACTTCAAATGTAGGCAAATCCTTTCTTAATGCAGGGACTACTCCATATCAGAAAGACAAAGCCCTAAGACAGATGGAGATTTCCATCCCAGATTCAAGGAATTATTTAGCAGAGACTCTCCTTTCTTGTTGACTATTAAAAGACAATCAAATTGAGGGCAGCAGAGAAAAAGGGCAAGAAAAAAATGTAATTTTTCAAAAACAGCCCCAGAGTAGAAAGCTGCATAAAAGCCTTCAGCTTACTGTGTTCTTTGTGAGTACTATGAGCTCCGCCCAGAGGTCATTCCCAGAACTGCAAGTTAATTTAATTTGGATAAAAAAGAATCTTCATCCTCCTGGGTCCAGGGAGGTACCCGCCTCCAAGGACTGCTGAAAATCCTTAGACAACATTCTCTTTCTCGTCTTTCATTAAAAGAACTGCTCTGAACTCTTAAAAGACAAGATATACTGGGCCGGGGATTTAGCTCAGCGGTTCGGTGGCCTGCCTTGCAAGCACAAGGACCCGAGTTCAATCCCCGGTACCAAAAAAAAGACAAGATATACTTGGGGAACCTGGTGAGATCCAATAGGACAATTGCCTTTGATATTTGTGCCTGTCAAGGAACTAGTGGAGTTTCTGGAAGATTGAACTCACCTCAAAGAAAACAGAGTGTTCAAAGCGTACTTTTAAAAGAAAAGCTGACAGCTCTCATTGAAATAAAATACAAGACTGCAGAGTAAATCAGAGAGCAACAGAAACATGTCTAATAAGAGAAGGATTGAGAATAATTCTTCAAGAAGGACCCTTGAGCCTTGTACCCAGAAGGCCCAATTGTGAGGCATCCACTCCCTAAAGCAACCTGGAAAATCTCCCCGAGACAATCTCAAACCCTACTTCAAAAAGAAAAGGCTACACTTCCCAGAACATCTCTGCAGTATCCATTCATTCATAACATACACACAAACCCTCACAATCCATCCACCCTCAACACCATTGGTCTGGCACTAATTCATAAATGTACTCCTCAGTCCATGAGAAGTCAAGCTCAGATAACGTGCTGCTAACATGCTGAGGGCTCAATTGCCCAGGGTGAGCCGCATTCTATTCCAGATACTACAAACTAGCTCAGCAAATAAATGAAGCCTTCAAAAAACAATACCATATGTTGGTACCAAAAGTTTCATCTACTGTCCCATCCACACAGCCAGAGTGCTCCTGTCTTTATCAGTTCCTGCCTTACATGACTAATGACAGTTTTGACAGAACTTAGGAGAAAGAAACATATCCTTTGTCTTCCTTCAACATTCCTGCCTCCACTCACCACCCAAGTCCTTTCTTCAGTACAAACACTGAACAGCCTTTTCAGGTCTACTGACAAATATCTCTGGGAAGGTTTATCCATCTCTGGGGTAGTAAGGCTCTAGAGAATGTCCTTGTTAGACTTTCGCACATTCAGGTTTCAACAAGGCATTCCCAGAGTATTGCCCTCTCTTTGTTTCTTGATAATGTAGCACAAATGTTTGTGCTCAGGTCTAGGGATGTGGCTCAGTGATAGAGAACTTTCCTAGCATGTGTGAGGCCCTGGGTTCCATCCCCTAGTACCACCAAAAAAAACCTAGAAAATTTGGAAAATATGCCGAGGTTGAGTCAGTATGACTGCACAGAGTTCCCTAGGCCCTCTAATGGTAGCAATCACATGGAAGACTAAAATCACAAATGTTCACCAGTGATCACTAAAGCACACCTGGCTGTGGAGGGGCCCAGAAAGTTACAGGATGCCCAAGCGAGCCAGGTGATTGTTATTGTTATGGATTGGGTCTGGATATTCCCCCAAAGCCTAATGCAGTGAGAGATAGCTGAAGGTGGAGTGTGTGATGCTGGGATTCAGGCCATCTTTATTATGAAACCACTACACATGCGGGAGTGGTTTAGCACTGCTCTAATCCAGGTAGAGTGGATGGGATAAAAGAGGCAAGAGAGACAGTAAAGCTCTCCCTCTCTTGTTACCTTTGCAGCCTTGTGCACATCAGGTTGTTTTTCCTCTCTATGCTTTTTTGCCATCCCTACCTTGGAGGCAGCCAACTATGGACTGAAACCTCTACAAACTGTAAGCCAAATAAATGCATTCCCCTATAACTTTGACTTCCATGTATTTTGTCTTAGCAATGAGAGAAAAGTAATTAACACATTCATGATCAGGGAGGTTTCAAAAGACCTCTCTAAAAGCAGAAATGCTCTTAATTTCAGAATCTCCCAGCTGCAGAATGGCATCCACGCAAAGGGTAGCAGATGCACCCTACCCATCTAAGCTCCAGCTCCATAAGAGTACCTGGAATTCAAGATATGCTGCATTCTAAACAACGCAGCAGTTAATAATTTCCTCATTTACTCCCTTATCTTGACAGGTAGTGTTTGAAAATTTTACAAGGCCAAGCAAGTGTCCACTTCTATCAGGAAATGTTTTTGATTCCTACACAATGGTCTCCCACTAGTTTGCAGTTTGTAAGTGTGCTCTCTAGATCACTGGTGCAAAATGAGCAGATCTGCTTGATTATACTAGAGGATTTACCTCCGGATGTCATGCATGGAGGAGAAGGACACATAGTCAATATGGGTTTTTCTTCTCATTGCATCTTGATGGCTCTTCTGCCAGCTGCTCCTCACAGCTCCCCACTGCTCTGCATTCTGCCATATCCAATGATGGCTTATGGCAGAATTCAGCAGGCAGAAAGCCATGTGGCTCTTACAGACAGAAATTAGGAGAGAAGGAAAGTCTGAATTATATCACATTTGAAAATGCAGTCAGAGAAAGAAAAGGTCCATTCTTCTTTTCTCCTACTTCCTAGTGATGAAATCTATGTATTCATCCAAAACACACACCTAAATTACTGTCCATTCAGAGCCAATAGCTCAGTAAATATAAAAATCAACTATATGGTCAATGTCAAGCATGCAAAACCATTAAATCAAAAGTTGTATTTTTTATCAAAAGGAATCCTTACCTTTTCTTTGGCTTTCCTTTTTGTCCCTGCATCCATCCACTCATTTTCTTTCTCCAGCATGTCAATAAAGGCCCAGCGAACACCCTCAATCAATTCCTCCATCTACAAGAAATACCCAAAGAGACATCAGCAAAGTAAAAAACCTCAGATGGGGTTTTCTGAACCAGAATCAGCTTGAATGAGAAATAGTTCGGTATGCTTAACATTATGAACAAGAGGTTCTTTCAGTCTGACTCCTTGTTCTGCTAACACACTTTCTCCACCACGAAATGATAACCAACCATTTTTTTCCTCCCATGGGAATAACCTGTTGGCTTAATTTTGAAAGGATTACATGGAGAAAGGAATTTACTATAGCTCACGACTAATGAATATTTCATCTGTCCATGACTACTAAATTAGCCTTTCTTTATCAAAGTAGTAACCAAATTCATTACTTTAACAAGGACTTGAGAGGGCCAGGGATTTGGCTCAGTGGCACCACATCTGCCTCACAAATACAAGGCCCTGAGTTCGATCCCAGGTGCCAAAAAACAAAACAAACAAACAAGGACTGGAGAGAGACAAGCAAAGGTATGCGCTGTGTATTTCAAACAAGGACTGTAGAAGAAAGCTAAGTAATAGTTGAGAGACATACTGTCAGCAGAGAAACAGGCAGGGAGAGGCAGCATCCCAAAGGGCACTTTGCCAACATTAATTAGATTTATGTTGAGACTCCAAATCTTTTCCAAGTAAGTGGCAGTGATTACACCAAATACTTGACTCTTCTGTATCATCTTCTTCGGCTCCTCTCTACTCCCTTGCAGCTCAGTAAAGCTTGTTGTTTATAATCTAGAATGGCAGTTCCAAAAGGAACCGCTACAGAAAGAACATCCTTTCAAAGGCCCATTCGTATCCTAGTGTTTAAAGAGTGAGGCCTTATCCATGTTGAGGACAGGTTTACCCTGGCTTTGCTGCCAATAGAGAGGATTGAGGAAAAGAGACAATGATGCTTAACTTCAAAACCCACTCACAACACTGAGGAGGCCCCACTGTCTGTGGGTATGGGTACCCCTCTCTGGAAATCCCATCCTGCTGCAGAGATGCTTTGGTTTCCTTAATGGGATACCCAAGAAAGAATACAAGCTTGGGTCTGGCTGAAGAATTAAATTTAAATATGCAATTAAACATTGCTTATAGAAGGATAAAAATCTAAATGCTTCCTTTGTTCTATAAGGAATTGTCAGCACAAAGCTCAAAATGATTTTGTTCTGTTTAATAAGTTTTCTGCTATGTTTTCAGTTCAATAACAGTTGTAAGGGAACTAGAGCTGCAAATCAGTAGGCTGGGTTCCATCGTATGTAAATAAGAACAAACAGCAGATGGAAGGGGGTGGGGGGAGCTTCACAGCTATTTCTTCCCAACTTAGTAAAAAACATTAAAAGATGAGAACCTCAATTTGGGTTTGGGGCATGATAAAAACAGGAAATGATAGAAGAAAAAAGTTGTTTTAAAAATTATTAAGTCAGTGGTACTCAAATGTATCTGCACATTGGGGTCTTTGTGAGAGCTTTCAAAACTGACCAAAAAAAACAACGTAAAAGTTAAAAGCCCGAGGCCTAGACATGAGGATGGTGTGTCATTGTTCTAAGGCTCAGCCTAAGCATTGGGAGTTTTGATCACTCCCCAGGTGATTCTGATATGCAGCCAGGATTGCGGCCCATTGGTCTAGGGAAAACAATCTATTGTACAAATAAGTACCCTGAGAAAAGAAAAAATGTGAGATAATGAAAAGATGGAAATAAAGTGTTTGTAGATGGGGAGGGGAGGAGGGGGTGAAGGGAGGGCAGGGGTAAGGGGAAAAAATGAGAATCAAGACTTGTCATGTACAGGTACAAGATCCCAACAATGAATGTAACTGTACTGTATCCCTAAAATGTACCAATAAACTCAATTAACGCTGAAAAAAAAATAAGTACCCTGAGAGTTTCTGGTATATCCAAGCTCATAGAGCTAGTCTACGTTAGAGCCAGGCCCTAACCACAGAGCTAAAATGACAACAGTGAGTTCAGAGCTTCTAGAAGTAGAAGAGGTGTCCTGCATAAATCTGAGAAAAATGCCAGGGAAGTAGTAGGGGACCAAATGAAAGACGCAGAAGTCACCATTTTAAACAGAAAATCCACTAAAGGAGGCTGTGAAAATGAATATAGATGCAAAAATCCTTAATAAGATACTGGCAAACAGAATACTGAGGTTCATCAAGAAGATCATACATACTGAACAAGTTGGATTTATTCCAGGGATGCAAGGATGGTTCAACATATGTAAATTGATAAATGTAATACATTATATTAACAGAGTCAAGGACAAAAACCATATGATCATCTCAATGGATGTAGAAAAGCATTCAACAAAATTCAACTCCCATTCATGATAAAAACACTGCAGAAAATTGGAATAGATGTTCTATATCTCAATTTAATAAAGGCTATCTATGGAAAACCAACAGCCAACATCATATTAAATGGCCAAAATCTCAAAACCTTCATATTAGAATGAGGAACAAGTCAAGGAAGCCCACTATCACCACTCCTCTACAATATAGTTCTGGAAACATTAGCCACAGCAATTAGACAAGAGAAAGAAATTAAAGCAATAAAGATAGGAAAGGAAGAAGTTAAACTGTCATTATTTGCTGATGATATGATACTCTACATTGAAGACCCAAAGAAAACCACCAAAAGACTTCTAGACTTAATTGACACTTTTAGCAGAGTAGCTGAATACAAGGTCAACACTCAAAAATCAATAGCCTTCTTGTACACAAGTAACAGACTCACTGAGAGAGAAATTAGGGAAACAATTCCTTTCACAATAGCATCCAAAAAAATGAAATATCTAGGAATCAATCTAATAAATGAAGCAAAAGACATCTACACTGAAAACTACAACACTCTGAAAAAAGAGATCAAACAGGATATAAGAAAATAAAAAGATATCCCCTGCTCCTGGGTAGGAAGAATCAACATAGTGAAAATGGCCATACTACCAAAACTGCTATACAGATTCAATGCAATCCAGATTGAAATTCCAACACTATATTTCACAGAACTAGAAAAAGAATCCAAAAACTCATTTGCAACCATAAGAGATCTAGAATAGCAAAAGCCATCCTAGGCAACAGACACATGGCAGTGGGTATAGCAATTCCCAATTTGAAAGTATACTACAAAGCCACTGTGATAAAAACAGCATGGTACTGGCAAAAAAACAGACCTGAGGATCAGTGGAACAGACTGGAAGATACAAAAACAACTCCAGATGTACTCAGCTATCTCATCTTTGACAAAGGAGCCCACCATCCTCACTGGAGGCAAGATAGTCTCTTTAATACATGGTGTTGGAAAAACTGGATCTCAACCTGCCAAAGATTAAAACTAGACCCTTATCTTTCACCATGCACTAAACTAAAATCCAAGTAGATTAAAGATCTAAATATTAAAAAAGAGTCACTAGATTAGCTGGAAGATAAGTTAGGCAGAACTCTTGAAGACATTGGCATAGGAAAAGACTTTATGAACAAATCCTCAGTAGCACTGGAACTAGCACAAAGAATCAACAACGGGGATCTCATCTTATTAAAAAGCTTCTGCACTGCAAAAAAAAACAACCATCAACAGAACTAAGAGACAACCTACAATGTGGGAAAATATTTTTACCAGCTACTCCTCAAAGGACTATTATCTAGAATATATAAAGAACTCAAAATAATCAGCCCCCCAAAATATAAAGACGCGATTCAAAAATGGACATCTAAAATGAAGAGACATTTCTCAAAGAGGTAAGAAGAGCATCAAGTAAATATATGAAAAAATGTTCCACATCACTGGTCATTCGAGAGATGCAGATGAAAACAACACTGAGATTCCACCTCACCCCACAAAGAATGGCTGCTATCAAGAAATCACACAATAACAAATGTTGGCAGGGTTGTGGGGAGAAAGGAACCCTTCTCCATTGGTGGGAGTGCGGACTGGTGCAATCACTGTAGAAATAAATATGGAGATACCTTAAATAACTAGGATTAGAGGTCCCATTTGACCCAGCCATCCCTCTGCTGGGTATCTTTCCAAAAGAATTAAAAGAATCATATCACAGTGATATATGTGCACCTATGTTTATAATGGCACAGTTTGTAATAGCTAAAACTTGGAAACAGCCCATTTGCCCATCAGTTGGAGACTGGATAAAGAAGATGTGGTTTTTC